TATTTCATCCCTTAGCTGTAAACACAGACAGAGCTCCATGTGCTGGTAAGAGCGGGAATCATCAGTACAGCCTCCTACTCGCTATGTGTTGTATATAAATGTGAAAGATTCGCAAGGCAAAAATGTGATTTAAAGTGTGAAGGAATGATTTAGACGAAAGAAGTGAAAGAAGAGAAGAGAAATGAGCCACACTAAGAAAACCCTTTAAACGATATTTACTCCCCCACTCCCTTCCCCCCTCCCTTCCACTTCCCAAGAATATTTAATTCCAACTGACTAAAAGCTCTATTCAATCAAAATGATGAGAAAAGATACTGGCCCAGCATTAGCTGAGGAAAATTTGTTACGTACTTGTTATATTTGTGATGAGGAAAGATACTGGCAAAGAGTTTGCTGAGGAAAATTTGTTACATAACTTGTTACATTTGTGATAATTCAATTATTCTCGCTCACAACCTCAGGCCATATCAACCGAATCTCGCACAGATAATCAGAACTTCACTTACCTCATCAGAATTCCCCCTTCAGTGGCGGGGAGCACGACTTGGTTCGTATATGGGATGCAACTACTACCGGATTTCTCAAGCTGTTAACGAGTTCCACAGGGACTACGTAGTCACTACGACTGAAAAAGCCCCCAATAACTACAGGTTTTTTTTGTGCCCTATTGAATTCGATCAATCAGATGGATTTGGCTAATTAGTACAGCATCAAAATATTCGGTGTATACGGAGGTGTGAAATCAATTTTATTGCATTCAGACAAAAATACGAGATAAAAGCCTCTGCAGCAAATGCTAATAGCAACTACTCTGTTGCAACAGTCACACTGACGAGATCCAGTTGCAGCACTGAATGGGAATGTATGCGACTTAATGGACCGAAACATTCTAATTCAATTCTCATTTTTGTTTGTTTTTTTTAATATTTTTTATTTTTATTTATCTTTATTTTTTTTGTTTTTATTATCTTTTATTTTCATTTTTGTTTAAAAAAAAATTTAATATTTTTAATATCAAAACTTTTTACTACCTTTTCCATAACAATAAAATATCTAAATTTAAATTATAAGTTGGCAAGTTTCCTCTTTCGAAGTTTGTTACAATCACAGTGATGATCAGTACGATTCACTGGCATGTGCAAATATCAATTTATCATCGAAATGAATGAACGAATTGCAAAAAAATTAACTGCCTCAGTGGGGCTCAGTACTGTGAAGACAAACGGGACTAACTGAAACAAGCTGATAGCTATGTTTATCCTGAAAAGGCAGTGAATATGCGCCATAATCTCCGGCCAAAAGTCTCTAGAAAGAATGTATAAATATCGCATTATCACCGATTTTCTTAGAATGTCGAGCTGAAAGGACTACGAGAAAGCTCTTCAAAAACAGTGTGTTTGAAGGCAATGACATACGGATGCGAAACGTGGTCACTGACAAAAGCTGAAGAGTGAGAGCGGAAAAGAATCATCGATTTGCTTAGAATGCCGAACCAGAAGGACTAAGCAAAAGCCCTTCAGAAACAATGTGTTTGTGAAGGCAATGACATACGGATGCGAAACGTGGCCACTGACAAAAGCTGAAGAGTGAGAGCGATGGGGCGGAGGAAAATTGGAGTGCCTCTCGTGACTGTCATAAACAATCAAAAACTCCACTAAATAAGCGGTGTACACGATATCAGTGTAAATCATGCGAGAAAGTAAAATCCGATGGGCAAAAAATGTTGCTCGCTTAACCGATCATCCGTGAAAGTCGCACACCAGTGGGTGGTGCTCGTGAGAAAGTAAACGACCACTATCGAAAAAAATGGGTACTAACTGCAGCTGTGCAGCCCAGGATCGAAGAGCTTAAAAAATCCAATTAAAAAGATTCACCTGATAAAAGATCGCACGACGTTCCGCCGTAACGCAATCAAACGAAACTAAGCAGCAAACAAATCACTGCCATCCCACATCTATGCTGTTTCACACCGATTTCGTGCTTATTGCTAAACACAATGACCATTCAAACAGAGAAATTTAACTGAAACCGACCCATAAATTTAAGCAATTACTAAAACTCGGCTCTGCTCAGCTGGTGCCTTACACGATTAGCCAAAAATTTTTTGAACGGACAACGGGTAGAGTTGCCCGTTAAGCCCTATGCTACGAACACGGTGAGAGTTATTGAAACCTAAAAAAGGGAAAGGTCAGGGGGAATGCTTCCAACAAGCCGAGCCGAGTATTTGCTTAAATTTCGGCATTTTGGGATTTCGGTAAAGCAAGTTTTCTCAGGAGCAATTACAAAAACTCGGCTCGTCTCCTACACGATCTGCAAAAAATTTTTTGTGCAAATGGAAGGTATCCTTACCTCAGCGTGCCATTGGACTTGGATGCTGCGGACGAGGTGTAGGTGGGGGAGGAGGTGGTTTGTGCAGGTTACGGATACGGGGATTCGAGA